TATCTCTACACAAAAATACATTCTAAACTATTGGAATCATCAAATCAAGCTAAAATGAATAGTGCTAGGCCGAAATGAACCCCTAGAACCCTGACTTGGTTTTCTTCCAAAAATCAATCCATACACTACTTATACATGCTTATTCCACTTGATATTTAAGGTTTCTATCCTTACCTAAACCTTCCATGGTCCGCTGAAATTTTGGTAGCATTTTTCTTAATTTTTCATATCAAAAACTCAACCAAAACTACCTTAAAGCTTAGGGAGAAGAGGGTTTTAGCATACCTTAATGTTTTCTTGGTGTAAGTTAGATGATTCCTTGCCTAAAACACTTGAGAATTTTAGCCAAATGGAGCTGGAGCTACAGTGGCAGAGTCTCCCCTTGTTTTTCCAATTTTCCAACATTTTTTTTGTATTTTAGGAGGAGGTATTTATAGAAAATTAGAATTAGCCCCTCTCTTGTTGGCCGAAAATGGGACACCTCAAGGGGGTTATGTGGCAGCCATTTAGAGCAAAATAAATCAGATTAATCCAAGTGGAAATTCTAAACTTTTCCACACAATTATCCCTTAATTTTATATTTTATTTAATTAATTATGTGGAGTAGCAAGCAAGCAACAAATTGGGCCCAACGTGGGCCCCACAAATGATTTGGTTTGGTCCAAAAAGATGGCCCACAATCCAAAATAAAATTCTAAACCAATTTAAAATTTTATCGATTTACTATTCACTAGTAACATTCCATATTTTTTCATACCTCCAAAAATTCATTTCTCTTCATGATAATTCACCTTTTAATATGAGAACATGATCTAAAAATTTTTAGAATTTTTTTTGCCACCTCTAGGTATTTATTTTGAATTTTCTCTGATTAGGCCTTTATCGGTGTCACTGTGAGAAAATAAATTCCCTAAAATTTATTCCTAAGCTTCCAAGGCCTAAAACCAGTTTTATAAATTCAAATAAATATTTAGATGATTTATCCATTTTTTTCCAAATTTATTGAGGCCTCTAGCTAATTAAAATAATTATTTTCCTTCAGAAAATTCTGTAATTATTTATTTTCACCATAATTTCACTTTTTGGTCCTCAATCAAGTTTTCAAAACCTCTAATTTACACTTTTCTCATTTTTTGAGAATTTTCTAGAATTTTTTCAAATTTCCCAGTTTTGCCTTTGATAAATCGATAATTACGGAAATGCCAGCCCGGACCTTATCGAGGTTTCATATCAAAAGTTGTTTTATCTCCTCGTTTAGTTCCTACATTGACCCTCATGCTAATTTTTAATTCCCTATATCCAGATGAAATTTTTTAAGATGTGACATTTTACATACCTCGTAATGATCCAATCTCATTAGGTTCAACAATCCTAATTTGTATTTCACATAAAGTATGTTTATGTATGGAAAATATTGATGTTTATATTAGTGGTTGGTCATCTTTTGCAGATATCCATATCCCTCTATCTGAAAAAGAGAATGCTGCTGTGAAAGAGGTTAATAATCTATTTCATGCAAATAGGACAAGTCTACATGAATTTTCTTTATTACCATTACCAACAGAAACCCCAATAATTGATGTTCACAACCATCTTATACTGCAAGAATTGAGTTATGATGGACAAGCCTCATTAGAGAAGGCTAATACACTTTCCTAGAGTTTGAATGACGAGCAATGACTCATATATGATATCATTTTGTTTGCAGTAAATCTATCGCATGATGGGTGTTTCTTTGTGTATGGGTATGGTGGAATAGGCAAACATTTCCTTGGAATGCATTGATAACAACATTGTGTGCAAATGATGAAATGAAATTGTATTTCCAGTTGCATCAAGTGGAATAACAGCAACATTATTACCATTTGGCAGAACAACATATTTAAGGTTTGCAATCCCTGTTCAAATCACTGAGTCATTTGTATGTGAGATAAAGTAAAACTCAGCGCTAGCAAATCTAATCAAGTCCACAAAGTCAATTATTTGGAATAAATCACCAATGGTTTAGAGGTATTGGATCAAAGCATTGGATGGAACGTTTAATGATATTATGCATTCTAATGTATCATTTGGTGATAAATGCATCATCATAAGTGGTGATTTTCATCAAATTTTTTAGTCATACTAAAAGGTACAAGAGCTATGATTGTTAATGCTTTAATTAATTCATCACAGTTATGGAATCATTAGGAATTTTGAAGTTAGTGAAGAACATGTTATTGACTTCAATTACCATTCCCAAGAAAAGTTAGAATAGTTTTCAAATTGGTTGCTAAATATTGGAGATAAAAAATTAGGGGAATCAAATGATGATGTTGCAAAGGTCAAAATCCCTAAAGAGTTGTTGCTCACAAATTATAACAACTCAGTTTATGCGATTGTGGATAGTACATACACAAATCTCCTTCATGATTTAGCATCTAATGAGTTCTTCAATAACAGAGCAATCTTGGCCCCAACAATTGAAATAGTTGATCAAATAAATCACTACAAGTGTTCTTTGCTACCATTAGAATAATTTGAGTTTCTCATTTGTGATTTTATGTGCAAATCTGGTCAAGAAAGTGATACAATGGACAATCTCTATACCACAGAATTCTTAAATAGTATTCCATGCTTTGGAGTGCCACCATACAAGTTACACTTGAAAGTAAGAGTACCAATTAAACTGTTACAAAACATAGATCAAGGTTCAAGTTTATGTATGGGACATGCCTTCTAATATCTCATCTGGGACAAAGCGTGATTAAAGCCATAACGTTGAATGGGTCAAAACCTACCAAAAGGTTCTAATTCATTAGATGGATATGAATCCTTCTGAAAGTCGTTGGTCATTTATAGGAAACAATTTCCAATAAAGTTACCATTTGCAATAACAATCAACAAAAGTCAAGGGCAATGGTTAAGGCATGTTGGTCTATATTTACCAGCCCATTTTCACTCATAGACAGCTATATGTTACACTATCCAAAGTAAGAAGTATGGATGGTCTGAAGTTATTATTGATGATAAAGATGGTTGCTTGAAGAGAACTACAACAATGTTGTGTACAAGAAAATATTTACAAATGTAGATAGTACAAATGTTTAGTCCATAGTAAAGTATTGATTGTCATCAATGCTATTGCAGGTAATTATATGCTTCCCATGCAATAGAATTTAGTTCAGATACAATAATAGAACAAGAACCCAACTTTTTTGTATAGTCACATATCCAACTTCCATCCTCTCCTCTCAAAACACCACCACACCTAGCCTGACTAGAGCTTCCCTTCGCTGCTCCAGTAAAATTCATTTTGACCCAACCCACCGGAGGAAACATCCACTTAATAAGCCTCTCTTCTCGAGCAGTATTGCAACAATTTTGTTCACAAGGGTTGTACACTCCCACACATATTTTCTTATAATTAAATCAGGTTATGACATACTTTTCTTAAAACACTCTTATTTAGGACAGCCTATGACTTCAAGCACTTGCCCATACTTGTCTAGTTTTTTCAAATGAAAGTTAAATCTATTAATTTTTTTCATGTAAAATGATTATATTCAAAAGACAACGCTTAAATTTGTTGTTTTTTTTTTTCACGCAAGACAAGTATATTCCAAGATATAACGCTTCCCACCACTTTGTTGTAAAATAAGAACCCACCACTTTGTTGAGAAGTATTAATAGGAGGTAATTTAGGAAGGAAAAGTGATAAATATGAGAGACATGGAGTTATTTACATAATTAACTCGAGTCATCATACACAATACAAACTATAACAAAACAAAATATAGATATCACAACCAAAATTCATTGTCATAATTAAATAATACGTTATAAAGATTTTGAAGTGAATCTAGAGGGCAATTATGTTACCTTGTATGAGATTAAGTAAAGGAATGCCCAAAAGAAAAGATTCAGACGCAGCAGGCTACAATATTTCTTTTCTAGCCCATTCCGGCATATTGAAGGTGGAAACACAAACGTATCATTGAAGAAGGCAAATTAGGCTATAGTCTTGCATATTTAGACCCAAATGCATAGTTTAATGTAGCATGACAGGTCATAAGTGTGAATAGTTTTTTGAAGTGCCATAATAGGCTTGAAAGATGCTTACTTGGGGTTGCAGGAAGCATTACTTAAATTAAGATCAATCCAAGTAGAGGCTATTTATTTTATTTCATATTTTTCTATTTGTTTTGTAATTTTTATTTTTTTAGTAAGACCATGAGTAGTGTTTTAAAAGTCAGACTAGGTGTCGAATAGGAAAGACTAGCAGTTTAGGGTTCTCAGGGTCCAAGCGTTTCAACTGAGGATGTAATAATTAAAATTAAATAACAATTTAATAAAGAATAATTTTGTGCGTATATATATAAGAGAAACAAGTCCATAATAAGTCTAATTGTTAGCGCAATAACATCACAACATCTAAGTTTTCAATATAATAACACCATATAGCTACAAGTTGATGGAAAATATACTGGACTTTTTGAGGGTGCCAATTTTTATAAATCTCTACAGACTTCTATTAATTTTTGTCCAGTATTTTTAATGATGCTCAAAAAACTTTCTTATTTTCTAAAAACTCTTTCGTCTCAAATCACGTGTCAGTTCCAATCTAACACAACCATAAAAACAGTTTTCAGTCCAAACCAAGCCTTTAACGAGTCCAATCAATAGTTCGACCATTTTCGTGATTAAACCGTGTTGAATTGAAGTGAAGCCATCATTAAGGCAAAGCCTAGACTAAGACAGGAAACCAAAACAATTTTAAAAAATCGAATGGTCCTTTGGACTCATTGCAAAAATATTAAAAAAATAAAATCTTATTATATTTTCAAACTAAATTATCATATGGCGTCATTTAGCTGAAAACTTCATGTTATAGTGTCGTTATGTTGAGAATTAGACTTATGAATTTATTTCTTATATATACTATTATATTTTTTGCAAAATTTTTATTTAATTATTACGTCATAGATACGGCTGTCAATCCAACTGGTTAGACCACGGGAGGTGTAAACCACTTACCTTGTAAGCACACGCAGCAGCAACAGGAAACAGTCATAATCAGATAAACACATGATGCTCCTCACAAGTCACAAACCCTCCCTTTTTTAACAAGGACCATTGAATCAGAGTACCGAAAAGTGAACACAGTCATCAAATAAATACGTTTCGTTCCCTGTCTGGCCATTCAATCATATGAAAACAAGGACTCTTGCAGATGCTGGCATGTTTCCTCCTGTGGCTTCAAAATCGCCTAGGACCTCAAGTTTTACCTTCCCATATTATCTCTTTATTCACCTATCACAACTCATCCTTGCTAGAAGCAGTATCTTCCCCCATCAGTTCTTCAAGAGAGAACTCATCTTCCTCAATTATTTCTCCATCCTTCCCATCCCATGGCTCTGTCTTCACAATGGCAGGTGAGCCTCCCAAGGGCAAATTGCCCTTGCCGCCCTGTCCGGCTTCTCTCACAAATTCACTGAAAGCAAATTGCGAAGTGTTCATGCACTTTTGTGCATTTCTCTATAAAAGTATTCAGTATTTCTATCGAATGACAAACTTACACAATGTGTTCGGGCTCAAAAGCACTCTTGAGCGGAGCATATACGGCTTTCTTGAGGTTAAGAGCCACAAGAGCAGGATAACCATAGCCTCCAACACCCACATGCTTCTCAAGATCTGGCTGCTTGCCTGCTGCTGTCCAAACATAGCTGTAGGCAAAAGGAAACATCACAAGTCATGACCAAAGTTGCTGATGTATCCAATTATAGAAATCTAGCGGATTATTTAGGGTACTTGATATTCAGCCAAAAGGGTACACAAATGCCTATCAGTTATGGAAGGCACAAACCAAATATCCAATCAACAATGGATTCCAGGCCAATTGAAATTAGATATACAAATTGATCAAGGAGGGATAGGCTTTCCGATACCCAATACCCATGTGTTACAATAAAATAAATATACAGTTAAATTCATTACAACTTTTTATGCTAAATTAATACCATCATGCACTGCTTAAAAGGTCAACAACGGTATCGGATATATTTCATATCATTATCTGATACCAAATGCTAACCTTCAACATGAAAACAACATAGTTTTTCTACTTCGGGCATTTTATTTTTTGGTTACATTTAAAGGCGTTCTAGATATCGGTTATTTCAGGTGTGGGAGTTTGAAGTCTAAAATTCTTTCAGAAGAGAAAGGGTGTGCTGGATACATGTTTTGGATTTTGATATTAAAAAAATGACCTGGCATCCACCTATCTCCATTTCCCCAAAGCTTTTGCAACATTTAATCAATATAAACGGTTAAAAACTTATTGGGAGTTCCACTATTCACAAGTCAAAAATAGTGACAACCTTGTATGGCTCTGTGCAACGTTGATTTTATTATTTCAATATTAACATGGTTTAAATGTTAAAAAAAATAACCTCAATTTTTGAGAAACTTTACAAGGGAAAATATCTACTTTGACAAAAGAATAAATTGAGATCAGAAAAGAGGAAAGCAATATTAAAGGAAAAGAATAAGTAAAAATGATTCATATCTACTTGCCTGTAAGGGCTCCTTTTAAACTTCTCAGCAACTGACAACAATTGTTGAAGGTAACGGTTTCTCCCCTCAGCCTTGGAATCCAAAATATCAGGAAGAAAAGCAACAAAACAGATTGCAGCGGAACCACATTTCTCTTCCAACACATCCTATAGAAAAAGCTTATGTAAAGAACTCTATAACTACGTCAAACTAACCAATGACCGGGTACAATTGGAAGGGGTAAAATCTTACCGGACCCGTCAGCTCAGTCACTTCAGGTGGTGCAACATTCGTTTCCAACTGCTCCAGTGCAAATGATTCAATAGCTGAGGCAGTCCTTGCCCCTTCATATGGAATTGGAGTATCTTTGTCAGCACCAAATACCAATATAGTTGGAAATCCTTGAACGTTGAACCTGCTCATCAAAGACTGGTAACAACAGTACCATCAGAATTTTGAGGGGAAAAAAATTAAGAAAAACATATCTAGTTAAAACCATCTAATGTAATCTCTTCTGTTTTTTTCTTTTTCTTTTTCTTTTTTGTTTTTTTTTTTAGATAGCTAAACAAAATGATAGTATTAACAATGAAAAAGTCACATGGCAGAAAAGGAAGGAGAAATACACGAACTTAAAACAAAAAAGGAGGGCTCAACTACTGTAACAGAAATATTAGAAAAAAAAGAAATCATAGAGAGAATGTCAATTCAAAAAGTGCTTGACAGAGGGCTTTCCAGAGAGTTGAGATTGATGGATTGTTTCTTGACCCATATTATTTCATCTGGTTTAATCTAACTTGAAAAATAAAAATAAAATTGTATTATGTAAAACAGAAATAGGCAGAAAAATGGGAAGCTGTCAGAGTTAAATGATGATATTAGAATCATATAATGCTACAGACATTGAATCTTGACGTGAAACAAACATCTTGACACCGCAAACTTTAAAAACATAGAACACAAGACATGGCACAGAAATATTACAGAAACCACTGGAGTCATAAAGTAACAGTACAATCATGTAAATTGTGATGTCCCGAGAGGAAATGTCAGAAATATATGAAAATTAGAGTATCAGATTAGAACTTATAGTGCATCAGCTGAAGCCTTTGGTTTTATCCAATAGTGACAAGTCAACTCCAAGAGAACAATTTAAGCAGTTTGAAGATATGCCATTCAGTAGGACGGAATTACCAAAGTAAAAACAAGAACAGTAAGGAGACTCTTGATGGACATATAGAGCCTTCAGGTAGGACTCATGCTAGGACGGCCAAGCCCCCTGAGACTTATAAATAGAAAGAAGGGTAACAAGCCAAAGAAGCCCAGGGTAATAACCTGGAAGCTGAAGGGAAAATAATGGAGAATCATAAGAAGGTTACCTTGGCAGGAGTGCCAGCATAGCAGAGAATTAGAACAGAGGGCAGGGGACATGGTAGGGTACAGAAGATGTAAGAGAGTGCATGAAGAGGTCTGGTCTATCAAAAATGCCTTACCCATATAAAATTACACATTGCCTTGCATTTCAAATTGAGGTTGACTGAGGACACACAATTGAAGTTGCAGGTCCGAATTTTTATAAAAAAAAAAAGAAAAGAGCAAACAAAACAAAAATAGACCAAAATAAAATGGTCAATAAACGTTTTGGTCAAGGCTAGTTTTATTAATGACTTAAGAGCATACCTTTTCTGCATCACAGTCAACATGACCCAGTTTCACCTTCCCTTGTAAGTTATTAGCAGCTTTTTTCCATTCAGGAGCCAACTTTTTACAATGGCCACACCTTCAAGAAATAAAAGAGAAAAAAAATTTATGGATGAAGCTGAAAATATGACAGTAGAAGTGCTTTAAGCTCAGCCAGGTGATAGATATTTAAGATCCAAAAAATCACGGCTTATTTCTCAACTATAGGAAGTCACCGCCACACTACATTCAGACAATAGAATGCAATTACCAAGGAGCAAAGAATTCCACAATCCAAAGTTCTTTGCTTTTGAGAACCAGTTCATCGAAGTTGCGAGAGTTCAACTCTACAGAAGCACTGGATTCTGACTTTCCACCAGTTCCCCCTGTTGCCTTTCCATTCAAACGTTCCTTCAAAAGAGCCTTTATCTGTACATGTACACAGAAAATTAGCATGTAATAATAAGTTAATTATGCACAACTATCATTACCTCCATTGAAGGAAAGGCTCGGAAAGAATAAGTGGCATCCCAAGTAGCATCCTACCCGACATTCAACTTCAAGTGGCACCCGACGAGGGAGTGTAAAAGATCCAAGAGACTCCTAATGAAGTCATTCATTTTTAGTTTCTATGTAATTTTACTATTTAAAAGAGACATTTTGTATCTAATAAATTATTAGAAAGATTTGAAGTACCTTCAGATATTTTGAATTATCCAAATGTTCTTTCAAATCTATTACTAGCTTATCTTACTTTAAATTATGATATATTATTTTAGATATGTGAATTGACAAATAGGGATCTCAAATACATTACCTAGTCTCTTGTTATAATGATGCAATATTCTTAATTTAATTTAGGTAGATGACATTTTATCACTTATATGTTTAGATTTTTTTTTTTTTTTTAAAACCTTTAGGGCTTTTAGGATTTCTAGCTTGTTTCTATTTAAACTCAAGTAATGTACATTCATGATGATTTTGCTGAATAAACTCTTTATTCAAATTCGAATCATGAATGTACATTACTTGACTTTGAATAGAAAAACAAGACTCTAGACAAGCTAGAAAACCTAAAAGCCCTAAAGATTAAAAAACAATATTATAAAATATTCGATATAAATCATAAGATGTCACCTATCTATATTAAATCAAGAATATTGCAACACAATAAGAAGACATTAAATAGTATTCCTGAGATCTCTATTGGGCAACTCATATATCTAATAAACTACTAATAGATTTGAAAGATAATTGGGACAACTCAAAATATCTAAAAAATACTTCAAATCTTCCTAATAATCCAATAAGTACAAAATGTCTCTTTTAAATGAAATTACATCAAAAATAAAAATAAAATGACATTATTAGGAGCCCTCTTGAATAGGATCCCTTACACTTCTTCCTCAACGGCTGCCACATGGAAGTTGAATGCCAAGATGCCACTTGGCATGCCATCTATTCTTTTCGAGCCTCTCCCCTGGTGGGTCTTCTCCTACTTAACTAGTGGCATGTAAAGTGACAGCATTGCCTCTGGGTTCCTATCACTTGTAAAAGATTAGATTCCTATCACTTATAAAAGATTCTCATAACCTGTTGTAGAGCGAATTCAGCAATAGGTTTGACATCTCTAGCTCCTTGATAATCTACCGGTGGTTTTCCAGGTGTAAAGACCTTTATGGTGGGAAATCCCCTAATCCCATATTCCTATAATACATTGAAAGAAACAAGTTCAAATAAAAATGTTATAGAGAAAAATAATAAATCATGTACCTTACCACTGAAGGAAAATGTATGTAATGGCTTATGTATTTAATCATTTAAGCAGCAATGCATGTTATATTGGAGAAACGAACATTAAAAAAAAAAAACAAAATAACAAGTAAAAAATAAAACACCACATGATAATGTTTCATCTAAGTTGGCTAAACTATACTGAGAATAAATACAACAGAGATATTCTTTGTCATGTTCAGTTACAAAATGATAAAAAATATTAGGTATTTACTGACACAATATATTTAGTATTTATATCGTATGTTATTTGCATAATCAAATGAAACTAAGCAATGCAAGTTAGATCAAAACGTCCAAAGTGGCAAGGCCCATTTTATCTTATTCAAATGATCTATATCAAACTACCCAGTTCAAGCATTCAGCGATGATATATAACAATTCACATTTTCCATTATTCTTGGTCCTCCAAAGAAAGGTTTAGCATTAATAGTGAGTATAATAATATTTTCATATTAAAAGGAGGATGGTTGCTGAGGGATATATCAGTTTTAACAGACTCCATATGATACAAAACACAAAACGGGCCTATGAAGATTGGAACTATAAGCAACCTGAGCAAGGGCCTGGTGAGCATCAGCATCAAGTGCTGCAACAGTAGCTACACCCTTTAAGACAGAAGCAGCTTTCTCCCATGTAGGAGTTAGAGCCTTACAATGACCGCACCAAGGAGCAAAGAATTCAACAAGAACAACTCCATTTGAATTGAGGACCTGCAGCATTCAGATAGCACTCTTAACTTCAGTTGTATTACTAACTAGATTAAGCCAAAAGCTAAAGAAATATTACTCACACGAGGGATTCACACCGAAAATTTAAATTGAAAAGATAAAATCAGGAAATAAGAACAATGATTTTCTATACATAAAGCATTATATGAAAACAACAACTCCCTTTGAATTGAGGACCTGCAGCATTCAGTTAGCGCTCTTAAATTCAGTAGTACTACCTTAAGCGAAGAGCTACAGAAATATTACTCCCCAGAGGGATTCACAGAGAAAGTTTAAATTGAGAAGATCGAATAAGGAAATAAAAACAATGCTTTTTCTATACATGAAGCATTACATGAAAAGAGCTTCACCAACAGTGGAATAGTACGCTGGAATTAGGCAATGAATTACAAGGAAATAAAATATCTAAGTTAAATAAAATTCAATGAAAATGCTATAAAACGAAACACATGCATGGTGATTAGAAACGGGAGGAGGGAATGGGAAAAGAGAGAAGAGAAGAGGGAGAGACGACAAGTCTAACATCTAAAAATAAATATATACGCCCAAGATATTATCATATTCTAGGAAAGAAAAACACAACTTTAAAACATAGTCAAATCAATCAATCAATATACTAACAAAACACGAAATCCTATCCTAATCTTCATAAAACAAATCATCCTACTTATCTTAGGATCATAACAAGTTCATCCTAAATCCATATCCCATCAAAGTGAGTACAACATGAAACGTACTTTAACGCAAGTGCACGAGTATGATTAGTATATATATTGCATAGAGTTGTGGCTCCATAAATTTCTATAATACAGGCAAAATGGTGACTGAAGACGAAGAAACATGATGCGATAGTGTAAGGAACTTCACTGAAGCAAAATTAGAATGTATAGATTCAACTATGAAAAGTCGGATCCCAGAGTCCCAAAAACATGATGGTTAATCCTTAGAATAGATCTATAAACTCCGCACGGGCAACATTATTTAATAAAACAAAATGTAACTTCATCTGTAATTCGAACAAACAACCAACTTCAAAGATGAAAAGAAAAAGAAATACCCACACGGTTTTAAAAACAGAAGACGCAAAATTTCACTTGAACGCATCATATTTTCTAGCAGAGCAACAAATATAGTGGATCACAAATTGGGTAAAGAATAGAAACAATTTAAATGAGAAAACAAAGCAATTTTCACTTTCATTGTTACCTTGGACTTGAAGTTGGAGGGATTGAGCTGAACCACAGGTGATGACGGTCCGTAGAGTGCGTTAGAAGGAGTGAAGTTGATGAGCGTAAAAAATAAAAAGATTGACACAGCTGGAAAAAATGGCGATTCAAATTGGAGCTTTCTCATCGTCTTTCTCGGGAACTTGGCACGCCGAATCGTAGCAGAAGGCAACTCTATCGAGTCTCGTCGTCCAGAAGGGGAAAAACGCAGGGTCCTTCCACCAGTCGACCATGCGCGTCCCGGCAGCTACGTGGGCAGGCCAATAATAAATTGCCACATCAGCTTGCCACGTTTTAGCAGGTAGAATTTTCGAAGGGAAAAGGCCCTATAAAAAGAAGGTGGAAATTCTAATATTCCAATTCAGAGACCTAGGAGGTTAAAATTTCAGGAGAGAAAGTGATATCTGACTTGGTATTTTACATGAAAAAAATATATTTGTGTCAAAAGTTTATTAACAAGTTGTGAACTGCCAATGTTAAACAGCAAATAACAAGAAATATATTAGTAATGACAAGTTATTTATTAATGAGTTATAAATTAGCAATAACAAGTGTTGAACAAGTAATAACAAGAAATATACTGGTAATGAAAAATTTAATAGCTTTTATTTTTCAGAAAATCTCATACAAAAACATTTTAATTATTTGACTACATCTGCAAAATATTGAATCAGGCATCACTTCCTCTTATGGGATTTTAACTTCTTAAGTGCTTGAATTGAAATATTATAATTTTTTTTTGTCATTTTCTCATTTTGGAAAGAATATATTCAATGATCTCAATAGCAACTTTTAGATTTTTGGTAATAATATTTTATTTGATGTTAACAATACTGCGTTTGTAAATAATAATAAAAATTTATAGAGATCATTTACTTGATATCTAGTAATTTTTAGTTTTTTTTTTTTCATTTTTCTATAGAAATGAGGATTACAGTTCAACATACTCAAATATTTTTCCAGAAACATTTATCATCCTAAATTATCCTATTTTTATTCATTCAGCTTTCAAAATAGGTTCAACATTTTAAAATAATTTTTTGAACCAAACCACATCTAATATTTTAAAATATTTTGTGGTTCAATTTTACTCTTAAAATATTTTTTAGGAGCAATTTTAATTTCAATTTTAACTATCAAAAGATCGTTTTTTTTTTTTTGCCAGCTTCAAAAGATCCGTTAAGTAAAGATATTTATGTACTGAAAATAATTAAAGATTAGGTTGACAACATGAAAGATAAGTCTAGAAAATATTTATTATGATTATTGAAAAAAATTGTAAAACTATTATTAAAAATTTTAAGGATGACTACTAAAATATGAAAGATAACTAACTAGTGGTATATGAAAAAGTGTGATAAAAAGTAAAATTGCATTACAAATAGAATATTAGACGCATTTAAAAAAATACTTCAAAATACTAGATAAACTAAAATATATTTTATGACATTGAGCACATCCGAAAGAAATATTTTGCAGTGTTGGATGCACTTTTATCCTGAGAATAATAATAATAATAATAATAATAATATTTTTACATATTAAAGATTTTACTTTTTAAAAAAGAAAAGGCAATTGTAATAATTTTCACCAAAAAAAAATGTTACACTCAGTAATCCATCAAGTGAAAAAGTTCAGCAAGAAAAAATAAACAAGCAAGAAACAAGAAATAACCAAACAACACATAAATACAAGACCCCGGGGGGGGGGGGGAACTAGGCCAATGCGAATGAGGACAATTCTTATAATACTCACAGCCTCATCTCTTTGAATTGGTAGGGACAGGAAGCAACCGAACCAACATCTGTTTGCCCAGGGACACACCATAATCAAATGCTCAATGGTTTCAACCTCATTATTGCTGCAAATTGGACATAAATCATCCTGAGCACATTTTCTTTTCATAAGCGTCTTTAGTTGATAGAGCATCATTAAGCATTCTCCATAAAAAATGCTTAATTATTTTTGGGGGGGGGGCTCATGAAGACTCCAAATGCTTAATTTAAAATCCTGCACCATTAATCACTAGGATTCTGCAACATCCTCCAAGCAGTCTTCATTAACAAAGCCTTACTTTTGAAAGCTTTGGAACTTCTAAATCCCATATCACCGGATTTCTTATCATTTGACATCAAGATCCCAACATTTCCAATGAATTCTTCTACCATCATCGCGCTCATTCTATCCCCACCAAAATTCAAAGATCAAGCCATCAATCTCCTCACAACCCTTCTTGGGGGAAAAAAAAAATTGACATTGGATAAACTAGAATTAAGTTAGCAACAACCTTAATCAACACCTCTTTCCCAGTAAATGTCAAGAGTTTTTAATTTGCTTCCATCCTTGTAGTTTCAAACATATCTTACTTTCTATTTTTTTTGTCATATGACATCCTACTTTTCACAAAAGCAAGTGCAGAGGTTTTAGATGTGCCGCAAACCAGTGGGAGGCTTGAATATTCCCCAAGCTCACTGGCAGGTTTCACACCCAACTCACTTAGCTTGCTCTCAACCACTTATATGGCTTCTAGTGCAGAGTTAGTAGAAAAGAAAAACAGGATTTTTCCAAATTCATCTACTTACCTGATATAGCATTGTAAATGTTCAGTATCTTCTTAAGAATCATATAATTTTCCCTCTGTGCTCTCATAAAACGCATAACCTGCCAAAGAAAAACAAAAACAATGAGAGAGCATGGGCCCTCCTCTATATAGTCCCATACCCACCAAATCACTATTTCTTACATGAACTAGCACCATCATTGAGAGGACATCTGCTGCAATGATAAAGAGATAAGGGGAGGGAGGATTCCCTTGTTTAAGTCCTCTCTTTGGCTTGATATTTGCCACTTTCATGCCTGACACTTGAAGCTTAAACTCAACTGAAATAATGCACTCTATAGTCCACCTCACCCATTAACTACAAAATCCCATCTTTAACATCACACCATTAAGAAAATCCAGTCAACTTGGTCATAATCCTTACTTAAATCAATTTTCAGTGCCAAATCACATCTCGTATCCCCTTTTCCTCTTTAGATATTGAAAAGCTTCATGCCTTATAAATCTTAAATTAGTCTTTCAGCCTCAGAGATACATTTGCTTATCAATCCCCTCATCCTGCAGGTCATGATCTTTACGATATTCTTATACAAGACATTGCAAAAGTCTCATTGGGGGAACTAATTAACAGATTCAAGTTTGTCAATTTTTGGCATTAATACAATCCGACTTAAGTTCATTTTCTTGAGATTTAAGCGACCTTTAAAATTTATGGGATTTTTCTCGATTTTTAGGCAAACTTTTCATAATTATCCTTTTGGCTCAAAAATTTTCGAACTTATGCATTTGGTCCAACTGGACTCTTTCATTTCCCCCATGCTTTAACAGACGACTCTGAACTCTAGTAACTCATTCAGCTCATAAATGTCTGAAATTCTCTTGTTTAACAAGTACTTGGAGTGCCGGATATGACACCAAGCGGTTACCACTACGATTTTAGGACAAGTAATAAAATCATATAAATCTCAACTTCTTCTCTAACTTTAGCAGGAAAATATTGATAGAAAATTAAGGCCACGAGTTATCTTTTTCATTTTTCCAATCCATCAATTCAAGATTATAAAGAACATTAGTTTCGACAGCCAGCGCATTCATTAAATGTATTTTAACATTTATAAATGTAGTCACCATAAATATATAAACTTATAAAATTTTTATAATGAATTTTTCAAGAATAAGATTCTCAACTTAATGTTTAAATAAATTAAATGTTCAAAAAACTGGTCAAAAATATATATGTTTAAAACAGTATAATTTATTATGTTATTTTTTTTTGTGAATTATGTTATATTTTTTATTACGTAAATAATCTTATTTATTTTGTTCTTGTTTTAGGTGATAATCCAGGCATGCGAGGGGGCAATTGTATAGTAAAGCTATATATTAGTAATGGAAAAATAAGAATTTCTTCTTCTTTTTTCCCCACCTTTCCCCAAAGCTTTTAGAATCATTTAGAAAGGGAATATGCTGTTTTTAAGATATTCAAAAGTAAAGGTCAATTTAATTGACAAGCGGTTCTTTGGAGATCTTTTCTAACTCTTCGCCCCTACAAATGCGCTCTCTCATTCATAGTCTTAATGGTCATAGTCTTTCCAAGTTAGTGGTGTTTAATCAGTTTAACCTTTTTTACTATTTATGGCATTAAATTCTGCGATTATAAATACTAAACCACCAAATCAGTTTCCATCATAGGAAAAAAAAAGAAAAAAAAAAAGAAACAACGTTTACAATAAAGAATTAGGAGAAGTTATAACACAAAAGGGAAACAATCACAATGTACAAGAAACTGAGTTTTACAATATGTTCCTTGTTCTTATTTCTGGGTTTCACCATTATAGCTCAAGCAAAAGACTTCGATATTTCTGCCTATGGTGGAAGCCCTAACGGGGACATAACTGAGGTAATGCTATGCTATATTATATTCAAGCCGTATGTAAATTAGCGCTGTCAATTGTATTTTTTCTAGTAGTGCTAAATTTATATAAGCTAGGATAAAACATCAATAATATTTCTTGTTCTTTTAATAACATGTTTGTATATTTTTGTTGTTGTTGAAGGCTCTCACAAAAGCATGGACCGATGCATGTGCAGCCACTGAGGCTAGCAAAGTATTAGTTGGTGCCGGGACTTACAATATGAATGCAGTTGACCTTAAAGGGCCATGTCAGGCTCCAACCATTGAGATGCAAGTTAATGGTGTGATTCAAGCACCAGCAGATCCTGCTGCATTAAAAGGGGTAGACCAATGGGTTAAGATAGGATATGTGAATGCTTTCACATTATCTGGTACTGGAACTTTTGATGGCCAAGGTCCAGCTGCTTGGAAAGCAAATGATTGTGCAAAAAATCCGAATTGCAATTGGCCTACCATGGTAAGTAATGTCAAAACAATATCTTCCCTTGTCTAAAATCATATTATTCTCGATAATGCTTGGAACTAATAAGAGTTTCTTGTGATTTGAACAGAACTTTGGATTCAATTTCATTAATAATTCTTATGTTAGGGGCGTGACTTCGAAAGATAGCAAAAACTTCCATGTTAATGTCCTTTCATGTAACAATTTCAACTTTGATGGGTTTAACGTTAGTGCACCTGGAGATAGTCCAAACACTGATGGAATCCACATTGGAAGATCAAATGGAGTGAGTGTTGCAAACACCAATATCGCTACCGGAGATGATTGTGTTTCGTTAGGTGATGGTAACACAAATGTCACCGTGGTAAATGTGACCTGTGGACCTGGTCATGGCATTAGCGTTGGAAGTCTTGGAAGATATAATAATGAACAACCTGTTTCAAACGTTAATGTTAAAAACTGTACAGTATCTAACACAATGAACGGTGTGAGGATCAAGACATGGCCTGGTACTCCAGGAGATATTACTATTACTGATATGCATTTTCAAGACATCATCATGAATAATGTCCAAAACCCTATCCTAATAGACCAAGAATATTGTCCATCAAATCAGTGTGACAAATCGGTACGTAAGTCTTAACTCTTTAATTTCAATTCCCTTTATTCATTATATTATCAATGACTTGTATGACTTTTTTTGTGATCTAACTATGGTATTCGTCTTCAATTGATTAGACTCCATCAAAGATAAAGATAAGCAACGTGAGTTTCGAGAACATTAGTGGCACATCTCAAACTCAAGAAGGAGTAGTTCTAACATGTAGTAGTGGAGTACCATGCTCTAATGTTACACTTAGTAACATTAATCTCACATTCAATGGAGCTGCGGTAACTGCAAAATGTGCCAATGTCCAACCAACAATTACAGGGACTGCACCAGCTTGTGCAGCTTAAGAATTGAACACCATTATAAAGGTTTTCCATTTTTGTTTCTCCGATTCTGTTGGATTGCATAATTCATCCCCACATGTACGGTGGATGGTAGCTAGATTTTTTCCCTCTTCCCTTGAATAAGAGATCATGTATGTATGTCTAATGAACTCTTTATATACAATTAAGTTGCAATAATACAATGATTTATATATATTTTTCAATTGTAAAGTAAATCATCATCAATCTCATTATTAGAAATTCTTTCTTAAGTTATCTCTTTTTGAACTTGTCAGTAAGAATGTAAGTCATACTTTATAAAAATTCGATACGCCGGTTGTATTGTCTCACTAAACTTTCAATATTTTTTCTTGTGTCAAATTGCTTCTTTCTTCCTCCATCACTCTCAAATAAATTTTTATTAAAATATGATTTATGAGATGTTTGAAAAACCTATTTCCATCCGTGTTATTAACATATCTCAACATTTTAGCTAGTTCATAAATTATTTAATATAACATCTTGAATTTTGAATAAAAATTAAATAAGTTAGTTTGGGTCAAAAGTTGAAAAACATAGTAATTTCAAGAACAAAAATAATAAAAAAAATATCAGGAAAAAGTATAATCATGGGAAAAGTGTCCTGAAATTAGAGAAAAATCTCAGATTTAACAAGTATTTTGAGGCATAGTAAAATTATTATAAAGAGGGCTCAAACCAATTAATTTGGCTAAAAAATTATTTTTGGGTGAAATTTTAAGGAGATTAATAGGCATATAATTATTAAAATTATGTCAAGGCCTGAAAAAATTAAGAAAAGATTATGGATTGTTAATTAGGAATTTAGGAAGTTTATGAAAAGGTTTAATTCCTCAAAATTAGATTAAATAATTTTAAAGATAAATTTTAAAAATTAAAGGCCCATTTTCTCATAAATTAAACGTAAAATAGTTAGAGGTTATTGTTTAGCTTGAAAATTTTGGGAAAATTATTTCATAAGGTAATGTAGCTCATACAGAGGCTGAAAAGTCGCCTTCTACAATTTTCAAAATTCATGAATAATTCGAATCAGGGTTCATGAAACTCGAGTTATGTTTCTCTATATTTTTTTTAACAATGCTTTGAATTTTTATGAAATGATCTAAAATGTTTTCATGGTTAATTGAATCTTTTGGAATTTCAGTGTAAATGTATTTTAAATTATAAGATCAAAAGAAAATAGATTTTACGGAGGAGAAAGCAACAAATTCATCACTATTAGAAGTTGCTTTTTATCAAAAGCATTTGATGCGGGAACACAACGGTTATTTGCCATGCCCCTTTCGAATAGATTGGCTTCTCTAGAGGTTACCTTAAACCCACTTAATTGTGCAAAAGAGCTTGTTTCATTTATTACTCAGTGAAAAGTCACCGTAGTGTTCATACCCATTGTTCTGTTTTTTTTTTTTTTTGATACAAAGGAAAGTAATAAAAGAGAGAAAAACCAAAAAACTACCCAATGCCTTCAGAGGCTAAAAAAGGTCAGGACACTATCAGGGTCTAGGGTCAGGAAACCCGGGTTATCATTGAGAGCTTTTTTGGCCAAAGCATCCGCCACTAGATTGTCATCACTAGCAATTAACTGACATTCAACTTTCCAGTCCCATGACAACATCATCTTCACCCCTTCTATAAGAGACCAATCCTCATGCGTATCAGGAGTAGCAACCTTCAATAGTTGGATGGCATCATAAGAATTAAATCTTAGAACCACATCTCTGAATCCATTATCCCAAGCATGTTTCAAACCAAAAAGACAAGCCCATAGTTCGGTGGAAAGGGCATCACCCGTGTTCAAATGAGAAGAGAAGCCTTCAATAATATTTTTGTTTTTATCCAGCAAAACTCCTCCACTTGTTGCAGCAGTATTCTTGTGCGAAAAAGCACTTTCGACATCAACATAAATTCTGGCTTCCATATCTAGATTAGAAGATACTTGTAGAGCCACCCTATTCTTCTCCAAGTTAATGCCATTTAGTTTGTGAGAAGCATTGGCCATGCAGTTCAGAATAGCAGTAGCATGGTTGAGAATACTGTTCATTTCACCAGTGCCATTCTTATGGACAAAAACATTCCTATTTCGTCATATAAGCTAGCATATAACAATGAACAGCCCCTTCCAATAGCCATACTGTCCCTTCAAATTAAATCTCATGAAAACAAAACCATTCATGTATGGAAGCCACAAAGAAGCCTTGCTTATGTTTTGGCTCAATAATCGACTCCCAAAACATTTTACTTGTTGGACAGTCTCTGAGGGCATGAAGAATGCTTTCAGACATGCCATTTCAGTGATCACACACTTCGTTTTGATGAAGATGTCGCCTATATTTTTCTTCATTAGTGATGAGCCGTTCATGGAGCATCAACCAAGCAAAGGTTTTTCACCTTTGGGGAATTCTGAGTTTCCAAACATCTTTCCAAATACCAGTAGGAATAAGCTTAGTAGCATTGAGGCTCCTGTATGCGGAATTAACGGAGAACACACTACTTTTCTCCCATTTCCAATGAGCGCGCTCAAATCCATGGCAATCAGTAATCACTTGTATACCATCTTTCACTTTGTTCCAAACCTGTTTAATGCCACTTCAGGTGTTGGAACTAGGCTTCTTAATATTTATCTGGGGCATAAGGTCATTGCCACAACCATACTTCTCTCTAATTACTTTAGCCTAGAGTGAGTTCCGGTCATTTACTAAGCCCCAACCAAGTTTCATCATGAACGCTTTATTTTGTTGACAGATATACCTCATACCAAGCCCACTAAGGCATTTATCCCTGCATACTTTATCCCAGGAGATTAGGTGCATATGTCTTTTCTCATCAGAGGATAAGAAAGCTCGAGAGTGTTTCTCTATTTTTTCACATATAGGAGCGGGCAAATTCACCGTTTACGTAGTATAGGACGGGATAGCAGAGATGACCGATTTAATTAGCGTGTCACATCCTGCAAGAGAAGTTCTAGAAACCTACCAATTGTTTAGTCTATTCCGTACCTTGTCAATGAGGAATTTGTAAGTGTCTGAGTTAACTCTATCATGGTGTAAAGGACCACCTAAGTACTTTCCCAGGTTGGTAGTACTTGAGAAGCCAAGAGCCTCACTCATTTGGGACGTTCTTGTATGGTTGATATTTGATGAGAAGTAAACCTTGGTTTTATTGGCATTTACTTGATATCCAAATGCTGAATAGAATGCTTCTAAGCAGTTTTTCACATCAACTTGGTCTATAGTAGCTTCTGCAAATAACATTAAATCATCAGTGCAAAATAAATGGGAAATAGGAGGGTCATTCTTACCTAATTTTATAGGTCTCCATCTTTTAGAGAGTACTTCTTCTTGAATAATGTGGGCAAGCTTCTCCATACAAATGACGAATAGGTATGGGGACATCATGTCTCCTTGTCTCAAGCCACGTGAAGGAAAGAATTCTTTTGCTCAACTATCTTCCCAGGGGATTTGCATTAAGGGAGAAGAGATACAAGCTTGAATCACATTTTGCAAGGTAGAAAGGATCCCTATCTCCTAAAGACATTTGATGACAAACTCCTAACAGGTTCTATCGTAGGCTTTTTCTAGATCAATTTTTATTGTCATAAAACCCTTTTTTCCTTTCATATTGTGCATTGAGTGTATCACTTCTTGTGCCACAATAATGTTATCAACACTATTTCATCCCAGGACAAAGCTACACTAGTTTGGGGAGATTAGCTCAGAATTTTTATTGCCATACTCATTGTTCTTTAGTGTTAAGTACTTACTCTATTTTGTGGATGCTTGGAGAACACTTTCATTCATTGTTTGAGTTGACTCAAGATTGTGAAATCTTGAATGGGGTTTTTCCTTTACAAAAAGTAAGGGGGAATAAGTGTTTGTATTTATAATTGTGGATATTATTGAGGCATCAAGAGCCTGAATATCAATCTTATGGATAATAGTAGAAACTCTTAGAAAGTTTTATGAGAACTAGACATATATTAAGTGAATTGGATTTAACCAGTATAAATTTGATGTGTCATATTTCCTCTACCCCTTTACCTAACATTGGTGATATATATTTACTTCTTTCCTACTTGTTTGTTATTTTCACATTATTTTTTTTATATCCTTAAATTTTACAATCACCCAATTCATCTTCTTTTGAATGAGTTCGATCTATGCTAACACTTTTGTGCCTCACTAAAATTTATGAGAAAATAGTACACATTTCAAGCTTTAAAACAAGTAAGTGTATTGAAAGTTATGAATGTGTATGTTGGGAGGTATGAATTTTTGAAGTTCAAGCAAAAAATATTGAAAATCCAATTTGACCAAATGAAGAATAATTATTTGCATGACTTCCTAGATTTATCGGACAAGGAATTGAATCAAAGTTTATATTTTTCCTGGGTAGATTACATTGAGATATTTAAATCGAGACTTGAATTGCACTCTGTTTTTATTTTTTTAAAAAGTAGTCATGATTTTTCTAAATTTTTAAAAAAATAAAGATGTTACCAAATGGCCTAGAAACAAATTTGTAAGTATTTGATATGTTCAATACTTCTAGAATTTGAAATGGTCAAAGAAATTTCAAAAATGGTTTCTATTGCTATAATTTTAAATAAGAAAAGTGAGATGTGACAATCCTATGTTCATTAGCTGACATCAAACCAACCAATACCAATAATTCAATCTAAGCTGATGAAACAAAGAGAGAAACTTAAACAAAATATTGCATTGTTACGACATTATCTTGAAATATGCATATCATGATTTAGTCTATAGCCATTTTTCCTAAAAATAATTTTTTAATAATTATTATGAATTTAAAATATAGATAAGTTTTTAAAGTCAAGAAGACAACTGCATATGCCATAATATATAATTGTTATGTCTTTTATATTACTTTGTATTTTATATTAACTAGATATATGATCTTTAATTTTATTTACTTAATTATAGAATGATATTTCGCCTAATCTAACTTTCTAGCTAGTTCCAATT